AATTTGGAGTTTGCCCATCACTCACCTCCGTATACTTAGCAGACAAATTTGATATTTCTTATTTTTTATTATTGCAATTGTTTGGGAATTGTTTGGGCAAATTTAGGAATATATTCTCATAGTTTAGGAAATAATAATTTATTTATAATAAATAAAAATTAATTGAGCGTATAGTTAGCAGACATAATTCAGATTTTAATAAATAAATTTTAAGATTATATAAAGACAAGAGAGATGTGAAAAAACTCGTTGCGTAAATTCAGCACGATCTTTTTGCATCCGGATATCTGAATATTTTGGATACAAAGAGATTGTAAATTTACACAATTGCAAATTCAGTTTTTTCTTATTTGTTTTAGATATTCTCTGTCACTGAAGGAAGTCGAATGTGCACCGAAACATTTACATTTTATAATTTTGTTATTATAATACAGAAAATCTATATTCACACTAGATCCTGACTCTTATAGACCTAATTTCTTATTATTTTTTTTATATATAAGAATATTATTGTCGATAAATATACATAAAGTATTATTGCATATATATTATATTGCTATGTTGCTGCAATATTATATTGCAATATTTCTGTAGGCGGACATTTTATTGTTGCTGCAATATCATAATAACATTGCAACAATATTTTGCAATGTTTTTGCAATGTTGTAATCTTGCAGAAAAATGTTGCTGCAATGTTAGGGCCGTGGCACATAAAAAATTTTAAGCAGTAAGACTTAAGACGTAAGCGAATTGACCAATCACGGTCGAACAGTAAGGCAGCCATATTGAAACGTAAGCTGAAAATTCTGTACGGTTGAAATTCTTAAGTCTTAAGTCTTACTGCTTAAGTTTTTCTATGTGCTACGGCCCTTACTGCTTAAGTCTTACTGCTTATGTTTTTCTATGTGCCACGGCCCTAATCCGTAAGAAATTGATCAATCATAGTCGATATTCTCTTTAAATTCAACTGTTGGTCAATGTCTTACGACTTAGGCTGCGTTCCGAAATTCATTGTCACTACTAAAAATCTATAATATACGTAACGTAAACTATAGATTTTCAGTACTGGCAGTGAATTTCGGAACACAGCCTTACTTACAATTCTATTGTACACCAGGCCGCATGGCCTTTAGGCAGAAATGTGGTCTTCCCATTTCCGTTCGTAAACGAGAATGGACGTGTTCAAACGCGCGTGTCCTTTGTTTGGACTTTATTTTTGAGTGCCGATCAAATTCTACTTGATCAATCCGATTTGCTATTACCAACCAGTTTTAACTATTAAAGTGGGCTTAAACTTTTTCATTGGGCGCGTTCAGGAGCATCGTCTTGTCAACTCTCGACTTTAATTTATTGGTTCTAGAAGTAAGAACCAATCACGTTCGATTGCTACTCAACGGTTGTGTTTCCTGATGGGCTGATGGAATAACTAATGGTGGGAAAAAAAGACTAAGTCTTCCAAATAATTGGGTTAGTCGTTATGCTCACATAAAATTATGACAGTTATAACGTTTTCGGATGAACGGGTTAATCCAACCCGGATCAATTAATCACTATATTTTACTATGAATTCGTCTTTTATTGGCAGAGGCGATGCAATGACGTCATTAATCCCTCTCAAAGCGATTAAACCTGTTACATTTGAAAACGCTATTAGACAAAAACTTGCATTTAACATTTTACATTTATATAGTATATATAGTTATATAGCATTATATATATAGCATATATAGTAAGCATAAAAAATAAAGAATTATTAACTATTTAAATTTTTCTTTAATTCATCATTTTCCTTTAATGCAGCATTTAATTCCTTTAGGGGCTATGCACAATAAAAGCTATAAGGAACAGGGAATAGATACTATTGGTGGATATTTTCTGTTCTCTATTCCCTGTTCCTAGAGTCCTATATAATCAGAGAGACGACAATAGCGTCTCGCTTGCGCTGACCGCCATGTTGGTCCCGTAGTGAATAGTGAATCCTACGTGCAAACTAACCGCAACTGGCGTACTGTAAGGGCCAATTTCACCAAGTCCGATTAGATTAAGGGTCGGCAGGAGTGACGGCCAAACTCCGAATTGATATTGGAGACCTCGCGCGGTGACAATGCGAAACTTCGACTTCAGGATTACCAATCTGAGAAATAAATTCTCGATCTCTATGTAGAGGTGTATGTCTATATACGTACACACACGATTGAATTGCTCGCGTGGACGCACCGTGGAGAGGAAAGATAGAAAAGGATCAACGATCACGTTATCCTTGTTCCTCTAGCGTATCGCTTTATAGCCGAGATACGGCCTGAAAATGCTTTTTGGCCTCTCGTGGCAAAAAACAGTAATGCAACTAGGCTAACAAACGCCCACTTTTTGTAAATTTTATATTTGTTTATGCACATTTATGCGTATATATGTATCAATAATATCTAAAAACTATATATATGATTAAAAATTGTATGACGATAAATAATAACAGTAAAATAATAACTCACAGAGTGAACTAATATACAATATGTAAAACACGGGCACTTATTAGACTTGGCAATTTATTGCTTTTTTACTTGTTGCTTTTTCATCGATACTTTATGTATTGTCAGCATGATAGAGCGACAAGGAGAGAACGATTGTTAATTCTTGGCTTACATTATCTTTC